GACCGCTGTTGTGTTGATGATGAACAAAGGGCTAGGCCTAGCGACGCCGGCCGCAATAAAAAATGCGAAAGAACAGAGACTCACCGATGTGGATCTCCACTGCCAACAAGTGGATAAGCCCAAAGCTCCGTCAGGCATTGAAGCGGAACAGCACTTAGCGTGTCTGGCTGGCGTGCGTGTGTTGAGCTCTGGACCATCGAAGAAGGTTTCCGGGTCTTTCCATCAGGGTAACTGTTTCGTTTTGGCACGCTCTGAAAGGCCCGAAGTCGTCATAGGCTGGGAGGCAAGTTACCGAAGGCGAAGAAACGCAGTCGAAATCCGAAATGTACAGAGAAAAAATGATAGAGACACAAGATTTCAGTGATACGACCAAGCGTTCGAGATGAAAAATATGAACGACGGCCCACGGCTGTTAGGGACATTATTACAAAAGCTTTGCTTGGCTCTCTGGTGGCTGAAGCACCAGCAACGGGTAGCAGCGACACAGCAACTAGCAGCAAGCCAGGACGCCACAAGAGCGTCGCTAAAGGCCATGGTCGGTGCCGAAGGGGGGAGACGGGTGCTGGTAAAAATGGAATAAAGGCGTCAACAGCGTGAAATATATATCTTCAACGAACGCGGCCTCTGCTTGGAAGCATCCCCGTGTGTTGCTATCTCGAAGGAATATGCGATGGTGGAAAACATATCTGCAACGTTTCCGTCTGACTGGCAATTCTGATGATAAACAGGCCCGGGGACAAGGGGCAAAAATGGAAAAATTGATTCATCGAATTAGTAACTATAAACTGCGCTCCTAGGGGCGCATCATGCCCTCTGGGACGGTGCGTTGCAACAAAACGGTAACGATGGGGGTTTTGATGAGGAAAGAAAGGAAAAGTTTATGAAGAAAAAAAAAAAGAAGAAAAAGCCGTGCAGCAGAAAAGAGCCATTATGCGATACTGATCCTGTTCCGATGAATCCACAATATATAGACAACTCCTGTAACTAACTTGCTCTTCTGTAACTTCTGTAACTAAGCTGTACTACATCTATAACAAGAATATTTAGTGCAAAAAGTAGCGACTTCTGAGAATAAAATTTTGAACACTAAGAGTCGATGCACTTCTCACCATCCTACAATTTTTCATCGTCAGAATTAAAAATCATTCCAGCAGATTAAAACGTAATTTACCCTCATTGGTTCACATCTTTGATGTGTGGCCTTTACGAACCACTTATCAGTTGACCTTCAATTTTGCTATTCAGAAATATGAGAAAAAGTGTTTCTAGCGGAAAAAATAAATGCTTTTCTAAAGTTATGTCAGTTCAGCCAACCGAACACAACATGTCCCCATCATACGTAGCTGGTATTAACAACAAGCGTGATCGCTGAAAAATTTGATTTCACCTGCCAAACAAGATACGTAGACGTCTAAACAACGGTAACATTAGTGACCGTTCCCGGCGGCGGGTACACACATCACGAAAAATACGCGGGCTGCGTTGAATCTAATATGTGTTTGCCTGTCCTGCAACACCTTACGCTTCGTAAACAGTGAGGATCTTGAACGCCTAACGCTCTATCAGGCCCACAATGTGGCAGTGTTTGGTGACAAATGAAATGACCAAAACTGTGTTTCTGTCACCTTTATTCTGCACCAAAGATATTTTTCAGACGCAGTATTATTCGTACCGAATCCTTCCTGTTTACTGTTTTTCTTGTCTGTACCAATTAGGTCGAAGGAAATGCTTTTACACTGTAGGCACGAGGAATCTATTCGCACAGCAACAAATAATAAACAAGCAATAATTGGATCTCTGACAGAAAAAAGGTCCGAATATATATACTTTTTATTGTAAACATATGGAACGTTGAATAACACTTATAAAGACGAATTTTACCATATGTATGACATATTTTTCATTTACTAATTACCTACACCTTGATATAAACCTTATATAATGTAAAGGTATCAAGGGAATGAAGTATGTGACTTCTTGCGTTCGTATCCCGCCGCCGTAGCACGATTCTCACTGTCAAAGAACTTGAATTCTGCTTTGGCGAGGATGTAGGAGCTTTTTTTTAACAGCATAAAATTTACCGTACTAGACAAATCTCAATTATGTCACCACGCTTACTAGAGCGTTGTGTTATATCAATTCTTAAAATCTGTTTCGGAAAAAAGATGGGACATGTTTGAAGTGAATCATTATTACATTTGCCAACATCTGCTCGACAAGTATACACAGTAGAACGGTCCGGCGAAAACGTTTTAGAGGGCAGCAACAGCAGAAATGGTCTGCTTGGCCTAAATAATATCTGAATTTTGCACGCAACTTCATCAACCCGGCAGCGATCTGCTGTCTGAAACTATGATGATCTCTGAGAGACGCTGTCCATATTTCTCTGAGAAACGTCATGTCATGGTAACTAAATAGCTATTTCTGCATCTATAAAACTGAAATGAATAGCAAACTATATAGAGTAAAGTAACCAACAGAAACGTTTATTCGAAAATACTTCCAGAGCAAATGTTACATCTATAAATGTTCACCATCAAGATAATGAATATATATACGCATAATTTAATTCAAGAAAACCGAAACGTGGATTCTGTGTGCCCCGCTGTCATCAAAATACTGAAGTTATTGATAGAGAAAGACCCCGGGGGCTGTCAGGGGGACGCAGCTTCCCATGAGTTTCATCTTTATGAATATTTAGCACTCTTTTAATATGAACACAGGAAGGAGACTTTTATAGCTGACCTTGCCATTATCTTTGTAAGCATAAAAACATATAATTAATAGAGTTAGCTCGAGCATGTTCTGCACCTAGCAGTGTTGGACCTGATGTTCGTGTGACCTTGCCAGGCTCGATTACATGATGCGTACAGGATTATAAAATAGACATACTGTAAATAGGCATGCATTGCAAATATGAGTAAGTATACATTCGAATCATCCGTGACCTATTGTTGACGTTTCAGTCTTAGAGACATTTACGTATCTGCCCAACCGCTTTTCACTTTGTTGATACGTAGTTGACAAAGTAATAGTATTCTCAGCACATACAAGCCAGTCCAGCGCCTTTCTCACGCCTGGAAAAATGCAAAATAAAGAAGAGAAGAACACCGAGGGGGTGGGGGGATCCTAAGATGGCTCGGCAAAACAGCGCAAAAAATAACAGAAGCAGCATAAGAACAACCCCCCCCCCCTCCTCACGGACAGCATCCCTGAAATGATCATCGGAAAGCGCAGTGTATTTCGGTCTCGAAACAGTATTCGAAGGTGAAAGACCAGAATAGCAGTTTATCTAGAAGACTATTTGCAGCGGGGGCATGGCTAGCACTCGTGACATCGACGCCTTCACGACGTCGTCTTTACATTGTGTTTTCTGTCCCGCCTCCAGTTTCACTGATGAAGCACGATACAACCTCTTACAGTACTTGAAATCTTTCTTCGCGTCTGTTTTCCTTCTGATGTTGCGTTTCCTTTGCACCATACACTGTCGTCACGACGAAGACTTTTTGCACTGATAAAACGAGTCAAATAGAGAGATACCTTCCGCCACCCAGCTCCGCGTCCCATTTTCCGTTCATCTGATGCTGGAGAAGGCAAATGATGCTAAACATGGAAGAAGTCACTTACCCACGCACAGCACATAAATGGCCGAACTTCTGCAAATAAGCAGCGTCATATCAGCTGATGCTGCGATCATTACCAAGATCGTTGCTACCTATCTGTTGCTGCTATTTATCTATTTACTTACTAATATTCATATGCTGTACTATGCTGTTTTCCTTTGCCACAAGTCCCTACACAAATAAACCTACTATTCAGTTCTATGCAAGCCATGAGTTTGAGGCTCAGTTCTCATTTCCTAAAATCATAAGTCACAGGTTGGAAGAGGCCAGAGGAAAGGAAGGTGGCCTGTGCTCGCCGGCGTTTCTTCTCCTTCGGCGGCCTTTCTCCAGGCCTTTGGCAGATTCCTTCCAACTAGTGAAGAGGGAAGGAACGAGTCCGAATGTGTTTCGTTGGATCGGGTGGCATTTGAGAGTCGTCTTGAGCTGGACGAAGTCAATGAAATATTCACAAACAGTTTGAAGTTCTGCCACCATTTGAAAGCAAGCTGGATAGAAGACACATGGAAGCAGCAGTTAAACGGGAATAACACGCGTAAAAGGGACAGATAGCAGCCAGAGAAAACGCTCAAACAGAGAAATGCAGGGTTGAGTTTATCGAAGGCCGTCGCCATAAGGATACATCCATCAGCGCGACCAGACATCTACCACACGTTCGTTTCTTGCACTATTTTCCGCTTCGAAGTTACTAGTATTACAGCTATTTTTTCAGAATGGCAACATTTAAATTTATAACTACCACGACTAGCGCAAACTGTAACATCCAACCGATATGTTGCACGTAGCCAACGTATGGATATATGTATTATCAGAGATTTATACGTACGCGGTTTATGTAATGCTATTGCTTCGTGCAAAATGGGAATTTATTAGATTTTGGTAGCTGACTTTTAAAGGTTCTTGTAGTAGGTCAGGTGAACAGGACACTACATTACGCATCTGCCATATAATACACCTACAATGTAGTAGTCGATTTCTATTGGATTCTTTTTTCTATAAATGGTAGATTAGACGATACAGCTAACCTATTGTATGTTCCAGACAGACAACGCTATTGATAGGCGTTGATCTAGCACCTATTCTCTTACAGAGACGTGCCTTCTTAAACCTTCCCTGTTCTATGGCTTCGAAAGCCGATAATTGTTGGGTCACGACATGACAAAAGCCCATAGCATCCGCTACATTATCTGGAGCAACTTACTAAGACACGATTAGCTTACCAAGCAACAAACATGTCGTGTCAAGATCGTGCCTTGAATTGTTATGAGATCTCATATAACAGAAGTTGACTTTTGTCTGTACTATGGATGTGGGTCAGGATCGTTGTTAAATATATATTAGACACATTGTCGTAATGAATCACATCGTAGGATCACTCACCTGCACACGACGACAACGACGATGACGACAGAACTTCAACTAAACTTCATTCAAATACCTGAAAATACAATCACAAGCACATGCTCTATAAGATTTCATGATATATAGTTTAATATTAATAATCAAGACAGCTTTCGACAATGTTAGCTTCTAATTCCTAAGCAGTGCGTACTAAGTTCAACAAAAAGCCCAGTCATTTTGCACGACTCGTTCCGGAGATCTAAAATGATCCAGGTATGTAAAATTTTGCAATACATAATTATTTTTGTCTGTTTCCATTTATGTAAGATCCTCTTTACTCCGCCAAGTGAATTATCCAACAATGTTGAGTATGGCTATTATACTACTTTGGGTCAAATGTTATTTTATAATTCATTATCAGGCACCATTGGTTCTAATGATGGGATGCAATCGATGATTTCACAACATATAAACATGATATTAAAAAGCCCTTTACTACCGAAGTAAACAACAGCGTTGTCCTAAATATCTGTTAATTCTATTATCCCATTCCTTCTTGGGAATCTTTTAACTGTTTTTCCCCAATTTTTATATAATATACAATGTTCTAAGTTAGTATTGACATGTGAATTTTGATCCGTAAACGGTCATAGACAGACATGGCCAACTTCTACATCTAATTAAACTAAAAGTTCCCATGTACAACAACTGTAATACGCATACATATCTTCAATGGCTCATCATAGGAGTATGTTATAATAGAAAACGAAATCCCATGTTCGTGTCTTACGATTGAACTTAATAGATTTTAGTAGGAGCTAACCCTATTAAATAGCAATAGGTAACGCTATGATAATGCCGCGCTGGCCTACCGTAGCTACATGATCAGCTGGCTTGAATCTAAATGTTTTTAGTTGTACGTCCAGTGTCGACGTTCAGCATTCCATCAGACGACCCGGATTCAAATCCGGATCACCACACGTTCCTCAGGTTCAGCTCACGGGCTCTAATCGAAATGTCAGGCACAATCTTCTCCTAGGCCCTTGTTTTTATATTAGTCGAGTTCGTCTTCCTTTAGGACGTGTTAAGTAGTATATATCATAATTATTCTCAATAAATGATATTGCTAAATTTTAAACTGCGAATAGTTTTTAGATGTCTTTTCATCTGTTTTCATACTCTACATAATTCGGCTTCGCCCTGTTTTATATTTTAGCTTCTTCAGCGGTCTGCATTTTTACCCTGAGCAATCCGCCCAATTTAATGCTCTGTAGCTTTAGTTTTTTTTTTTTTTTTTTTTGGGAAAGCTGTCGCTGATTATTATCCTGTGCAAAAATGGGTCAACATCGTCTCCAAACTACAATTTATTTTTACCCTATGTCACGACTAGTCTCAACACTACAGGTAGTACTATAACGAATTGTACCTGTATCAGCACGCGAAACGTACACGGATTCTGTGCTGCACGTTATGAACGGCAACGAACGTGTCAATCGGTGAATAGAACAAGAAAAGCAAACGAATGAAAATGGCTGATTTTCCCTCGGCGAGCATTTATAGCTAAGCGTTGGTATTGGGGTTTTGCTGTGATCAGCAGGGATCAGCATACGATGATTCAACACTGCATAGGTTCATTTACTGTTTGATTCTCATTTTTATTAAGGAGCTTTCGACACTTTCGGCGACCTTTTGCTCGTATAATCTGCGATCAATGCTGCAGCCAATGGTCGATATTTTACTGCAAATTGAGTTTAAGTTTGCATAGATAGTAACAGTTAGCATTCACAAGGAGATATCAGTGTGCATAAGAAACACGAAAGACTCATGGCTATCGTGCAAAAGGAAGATCAACTTCAACACAATGTGAAAGTTAGAGAACAAGTACAATGGTTGAACATCATGTAGTTTGCTCCATAGGTTGCTCGTAGGCCACACATGTTTGATGCAGTTTTTTTTTGGTAGAGCGTTTTTTTTTTCATTCAGAGTAATACCTTGGTCAAACGTGTATTAAAAAATTTGTATACATAAGTAACAAAATTCTTTACGTGTCCACATTGTCATGCGGGGCCTTCCCTTTTTCCACTTGCTAATAACTAGCGTAGATACGCAAGCTTGCGCATAGACAATTTAAAAAATTAGGGTTCCATACGTATGCTGAATACCATACAAATGTGTCGAATCTTTGACTCTAAATCAGATGGTCTCCTCCACACAAAGGATCAACAGCAATTTTTGTCACATATCCGTCCTTCACAATAGCCAATTAGCATGACACGTCACCGCCCTGATGGTCTTCTAGGTCGGCACCAACCTTAGGCTTGGACCAAGCTGGCTGTCTGGTTGACCTTCAACATCCGACTAGTCAGCGGGTCAGGCGGATGTCTTCTGACGAAGCCAGCTTTAATAGGTGTGCCTTCGTTTCTCCTGTCTGCTAGGACAATGCTTGCCTAATCATGTGAGCCCACTGTTAGAAGGCAGTGCGACCGGGAGCCTATCGCCTCTGTCCGCTGAATACCCTCTTTTAATATCTGAGTGCTTTCTAGTAGAACTGGCTTCGCTAACATTGGTGACGACGAGCAAGTTTATTATGCGAACGATCCTCAGGTTTGACTGTCTGATCAGTAAATTGGCACGAGAGTAAGTCGTTGTTGAATAACACTAGATTCAAATCATTCGATACGATTGTAGCCAGATGGCACCGACTCTGAAAACTGAACGTTGCTCATAGCGAGTATCGCTTCCCTTTCTGATGGCCAGGGCTTCATCACAAAGAAGGGCTACAATTCTAGATCTAAATGCGCCATCAGCATTAGTGTCCATTGCTGTTGTTGTCGGTTGCTAAAGGATAAAAGGACAAATTCAAATTGCGGGATGTCACATCGGAACCAATGCCTTAGCCTTGCCAATGACCTTAGCAATCAGCAATTAACCAGCTACACCAAGTTACGGTAACAAGCCTTCTCTTTCCCGTGGTAGAAACGTACGTTTGTACATTGTTCTATGATGTTACGAACGATATGTCACACACAGATCCAGTCAAATCAACCTAGTGGTTCCAGTGGTTCAACAGCGGCTCCTTTCAGTTTCTTCTTTTGCCTTTGGCGACGATCTTGATCACTTGGGCGGTGGCACACGAGATAAAAAAAAAGGGAGGTAGAAATTGGCCATTCCGTATTATGTCCTCTAGGCAAATCTGCGTCGGTTTTATGGATTTGAGCTCATATGAGCCGAACCATCTTATCATGTGCCCCCCATTCTTTTAGTATAGCCGATAGCTTATTTCCTGTCTACAGCACGAACTGTCTATACGGGCCAGAGGAAAATAACGAGACGACATTTGCTTGTAGGTCTGAAATTGGCTTAGTATCTAGATCAAACGAAGCTAAGAATTTTACAACGTTGTCGGGTTTAGATGGTTCCGAGTGAGTGGCAGGTCAGGTCAGCGTAAATCTACTAGAGTATTAAGAGGCAGCATAAAGCAGACAAAAGCCTGTGAGGGAACTGGGTAGAGGGCAGGTTATTAATACTCATTACCTGTATGTCGCCACCCAGGCCGACGATGTGGCACCTAGAATAAAGCGCAGGAACCCGAATCTGAAAGGTGACCTTCTGAATTGGTCATGGACCCACTCGGACGCACGATGGCAAGGGATTCACAAAGCGTGAAGTAGTAATTTCGACAGTATTAACAGAAACATTTGCATGATGCTATAATACGTGTCAAGGCGGCAATAGGGGGTGGACTGTGCCTCAAATTCCGGTTGCCAATAAGGTCGTCTAGAAATTCTAATACAACACATCTCTGCCTAATTCGTCAGTCCGCCAGATTTATGTGCCCGTGCCAATTGACAGAGGAGTCAGAGAAAAACAAATCAATAAACTAAATACTGAATTTAAATTGCTATGTATGAAAACAGGAAGTCAGTCAGACAATGTGCAATGGATCAGCCGCTGTTGCAAACAAATTGACCTTTAAATTGTAATCATTAATGAGGCCTGCGTTTTTCGCGATCTTTGCGCGGGATTGTGCAAAATGTCATTGCGACATTGTAAGAGTAGATTATCAATAATGCTACAACAACAGTATATCTTATCCAGTTCTTACTCTAAAATCTTAAGATCCTGTACACGTAATTGTCACGATCTTATCATGATGATTTAGGCCATAAACATGATGTGTGGATATAATTATTATCAGATGAGTTATCGGTTACTGTTTTCTGCAGAAAGAAAACCTGAAATGCGCGGCAGAAGCGATTCTTTACGTATGCATTCTGTTTGCGCAGTTTGATTAATGGTGCATACCCCAATAATAACAATATTGTAAGGATTCGTTTTGAGTAAAATAATGAATTTCCGTAAAGTATCTATCTAAAGAATTTGTTTGTGCGTCATGTTTTTTTCGTGTGTATCTTTTTCAAATCAAGCATATGCATGTACATACAGCAGATGTTGTTCCCTGTATGCCCGTTTATCCCTCCAGAAAACTAACCTCTATAAATTTTCCCGTGACATACGATGAGGATTAAGCTGTCATTAGAAAAGTTCTTCAAAAAGGAAGTTATCGGGTGATTTCGATGACATCAATCAGGGTTGGCGGCTGTCTCATAAGCACACTAACTTCTCGAAGCATGAACATATGAAGTTTCGCTTTTTCCTTCAGCGATGCCGGTGGACGCCACTATATTCAGCCTTCTCGCTCTGTCACCCCTGCTTCACTATTTTCTTCATCAATACGAGTGTCGAAGTTTATGGGGGAAGCAGGAAGGTTTCAGATTAAAAATGGATTCAAATTGAGACTTAAAACGTTTTTGACACTTCACACACGCGCTTCTAGCACTGCATTGTCTCTACGGTCATGGGCTGATAGCATTATGTTTTTGTCAATGTCACAGCCATGGCTGCCAGCTCTACACAAACCGCCAGAGTTTTCAACCCCGTAGTGCACTTCTGGAGAACTCCGCGAAGTTCTCTTGAAGAGCGAAGCTAGCATCCAGTTACATGCACATGTATATATATCGAGGGTTTGAAGAAAAGCGGGTTACAAGATTCTCGCTTTCGTTATTGATAGGCGGTCGAGACAGACGGTTGCGGTGT